GCGGGGCCGGCGCCATGGCCGAGCGGGGCCGCCTGGGCCTGGCCGGCGCGCCCGCCGCGCTCAACACGCCGGTGCCCATGAACCTGTTCGCCACCTGGGAGGTGGACGGCTCCAGCCCCAGCTGCGTGCCCAGGTACGCCGCCGCCCGGCCGCTTTGTTCCCGCGCGCACCTGCCGGACACCCGGGACCCGCGCCCGGACCGCCCGCCCGGGGCCGCCCGCCCGGGCCCTGCGCACTGCGTCGTCCCCGCCCGGACGGGCCGCCTGGCCCCGTCCGCTAGGGACCTGCGCCCGGGGTCCCCGCCCCGCACTGTCCATCGGGGACCTGCGCCCCCGGGCCGTCCCCACTGGGGACCCCACCCGGGCCCTCGCGCTCGGGGAGGGGGCAGCCAGGACAGTGCAGCGGGCCGTCCCCCGGGACCTGCGCCCAGAGTCCCCCCGCCCCGGACCGCGCGCCCGGGACCTGGCACCCCGGGCCCCGACCCAGGACGGTTTACCCAGGACCCGCACACGGGACCGTCAGCCCGGGGTCCCCCACCCAGGGCCTCGCGTTTGCGTCCCCCTCTCGGGTGTGCGCTTTCTGTGGGAGCGACCTCTGACGCGTGGAGGGCCCCCGAGGTCCTGGCGCCGCGGGAGGGAGTGACGCCGGCTCCTCCGAGGCGCAGGGAGCTCACCTGCTTGGGCTCCCAGGCAGCATCATGCACCTGTCCACGGCTGCGGCGCTGGTGGAGTTGGCTCAGGTGTCTCCTCTCTCCACTGCTGTCAGATTTCCTTTTGCGGCCAGCCACCCTGTCAAGCTGGGCGTCCTGAGAGTGACCCGCGGGCCCGCAGTGTCCGGAGGACGCCTCGGGCTGGGACCATGATTGTACTGTTTCACCCAGTACACGCCTCTTTACTCGGGTCTCGGGGACCTGCTGGGTCCTGCTCCGTCCTGCTGGCCCCTTACCTGCTTGCACCCGGCTTCCTGGTTAGAGACACCTGCGTGTCCGTGAGCAGGGCACTTTGCCCCGGGCTGTCAATTTTGCCTTGGTGAAAGACTGCCCACTCCCTTGACCAAGAAGCGCCTGGACCCTGGTGGGAGGAGCTGGCGGAGCTCTAGCCCCCAGGCCAGCGCTCCAGCCGGACTCACTCCACCAGACGGACCGCTGTGCTTCTCTTGGCAGCTCGGAGCTCTCTTGGTTTCTTCCTGACTTGGTGGTCGCCCATGATGGAGCCCTCAAGCTGGGGGGGCCAGACTCACACCGGAGTCTGTTCTGAGTGGACACCAGACCTCAAGGGCTGCGGGGAAGAGTGCTCCGTGGGTGAGGGCTTCAGGAGTGCCGTCCAGGCACAGGAAGTGGGTGGTGAGCTGCTGGGGGGCCACACGCAGGCTCATCCTGCAGGTGTCGCGGGGTGAGGTGTTGGGTTCCGGTCCGTGGGGCTTGCCCTCCACGAGTGCGGGGCTGGGAGGTCAGAGCACTGCTGTACCAAGTGAACAGACTGGGCCCTTAACACACCCGCCAGTCTGTATGGGGCCTCCTGTGCGACCTGAGGGTCAGCGTTGCCAGGGCTTAGGGCGGAGGACTCCTGATGCACCTGCTCGCCTCTTCTCTGGGAAGTCTCTGGGCTTGCAGCCAAGCTCAGGAGCATCTCCCTGGGCCCAGCCTCCTTACCCTTTCCCATCCTGGACATTTGCCTTAGAGTCGAGCCTCACAGCCCGGGGTCCCTGAGGACTTTTCCCCCTCACCCCCCATGCTTCTGTCTCTCCCCCTCTGCGTTGTAACCACCACCACCACCCAGGGGCTGCCGTGTGTCAGTGTCCCCCAAACCACACCTGTCCCCCTCCTTGCCTCCTTGTGTCACTGCCCCCTTGCTACTCCCAAGTGTCCCCAGACAGGGGAGGGGCAGACTAGCCCGTCTTTGCTGCCCCTCCTCAGCGGCTTCCTGGGGCTCCCCCAAAAGAGCACTGAAGTTTACCTGGGGGTGGTGGGGGGTGGTAGCAGGAGATGCCAGGAGGGTAGGAGCTGCATTTAGGGGCCTTGTCTGCCCCTCCTGGAGCTGGTCTGGGAAGTCCACTCCAGTGAGTGTTGGGGGAGGGTGTGGGGTGGGATGTGGGGGCAGGGTGGGACAGTACTGGGGTTGGGAGCTCCGTGGCTCTGCCTGGATGGGATGTAGGGATGGGGGTGGCAGGTTGTGTCTCATGGCCATCGAGTTGTCAGGATAGGCCGGCAGAGTTGATGGGTTGACCGTACAGAACGTTGGTTGAAGCAGATGTCCCCCTACTTTCCTGGTGAGCAGAGACCCTCCCTGCGAGGGGGTGCTCGTCCCCTGCTTGTGCCTCCTGCGCGTGAGAGCCCTTGGACGGGCAGTTCTCAGCGTGCTCCTGGGACTTTCTGTGGAAGGGGTCACACTCCTCTATTCCCTTGAGTGTCTTGTTTTTGCCCAGTCTTTATGTTTTGGAGTGATGTCACGCCAGTGGCTGTCACTGCTGTGTGTGGTCCCTGCAGAATGACACTGTGGGTCCCTGCTGTAAGGGGACCTGGGGCTTGTGTCCAGGCGGCGGCCAGTCTTGTCTGTGCTGCTGTCGGCACCCGAGTGCCGGTCCTCTGCACGTGTGTAGCCGCGGGCGGCCGGCCTGGCGTCAGCATGTGCCCGTAGTGGGGTTTGGGGGCTGTGATCAGTGCGACGCCCAGGCTGCTTCATGGAGTGTGGTCGTGCCAACTCCAGCCCCCACTGGCGGGGACACCCGTCCCCAGCGCGCTGCATTCTTGCCAAGGTTTTGCTTGGCTTTTAATTTTTGCCCGTCTGGTGGGTGTGAAGTGGTGTTGTGGCTTTTATTTGAATCCCTCTGATCACTAAGGCCATTTGCACGTCCTTGTCACTTCTTCCGCCAAGTTTTCTTTTGGCTTCTCGTTTTTGTTTTTCTCCTGGACTTGAGTCTCAGCATCGTCTTCAGGGGACGGTAATCCCTCCCCGGCCAGAAATGCTGGAACAGTCTTCTTCCAACGGCGTGAATTTCGTGGCGGTCTGCAAGGTCTGTGCCCCTGCCTTCGGCTGGGCTGGCTCTTGTTCCCTGCTCTGCCCTTCTGGTCGCGGTGGCCAGCTCCCTGCTCTCCCCAGGGCCTACTGCCAGGGGTCAGGGCTGTAACTCGAGGGAGGCCCGACTGCGTGGGTTTCCTCGAGAAAACCTACCGGCAGCGCTGCTCCCCAGTGACCATCAGCAGCTGTGTCCCACCCTTCCCAGCCGCCTCCTGGGCGTGCCCCGCTGCTGGGGTTCCCCAGGCAGCCTCCTGGGCCCCCACCCTGCATCTCAGCAGGTCCTGGGTCCTTTTACACCATGAGCTTCCTACTCCTGCTGGACATTAGTCACCAGTTTCTAAATGCCGTGAGGCCGCCCGTCCTCTCCCGTCCGTGTTGTTCACTCAAATCTTGGACGAACTCCTTGTGTGCATCCTTGGTGTGTTTGCGGGGCCTGGTTGTGGGTCTGCGTGCGGGAGGGATGACCAGCTGGCAGTGCTTGTTTTGGCGATGCTGTGCCCGCCAGCCACATCCCAGCGAGACGACACACTGCTCTGCGCCTGCAGGCCGGTCCTGCGGTTCCCAGCCTGGCGCCGGTGGCATGCGGCTCCCGAGGACTCCACAGCTCCCCCCATCCCACGGCGTGGCACCCGGTGCCGCCGCTCTCAGCAAGCGGGTGGGTTGTTGGCAGTTGGAGGCTCTGGGGCTCAGAGCTGCTGCGACCGCCCGTCCAGGGCAGGACTTGGGAAGTTGCCTGCCGCCGCTTATCTTCTGGAAGAGCGGCCTTGGGGAGGTGGGCACCTGTGCGGTTCGGGAGGAGCCACGGTGCCCTGCGGTGGGCTCACGGCCGGGGCGTGCTGCTGGCCACGCCACCGTGCGGGACTGCCAGCCGTTCTGAGCACTCCTGTGCCTGACGGGCGTGGGTGTCCAGCATGACAGACGGGTGTCATAAACACTTCTGAGTGTTCTGTGACTTTCCTTGACCCGCTGTCATGTCACGTAGGGTCACCTTACGTAGATGGGTTTTCTTGCGTTACGCGGACCTTCTGTCCCAGAGGAGGTCATGCAGCGCCACCCTTCTCGCTCGCTGGTGGGCTTAGGTGATCGCAACGGGGGACTCGTGTGTGGATGCGTACGGTTTGCGAGACCCCATGGGATGTGCTTCGGAGTGAGGGCTCGTCCGCTGTGCAGTGGGTCATTGCCGCGAGCCTGGAACCGTGCGCCCTCTGAGGGTTTGGGAAAAGTCTCCCGGGAAGTCCCCGTACCTTGGGGCTGCTCCGCGGGCAGCACAGCCTGGATTCAGGGCTGTCAGCATAGGGCGCTCCCCCCACCCGAGCTAGCGTCTTAAAAAATAAGTATTCCTGAGAATTTGTCCGCTTTGTCCAGATTTTCAGGTTTATTGGGACAAAGTCGCGCATACTGTTCTTTTGTTTTTTTGGAAGGCTGCGGGATCTGTGCACTGTCCACTTTGGTTCCTTCCATTGCTTGTGCCGGTGGATGGGGTGGGGGCGCTTGGACGCGTCTCCCCGGGGCTCCTCACTGTGAAAACGAATGCTCGTTGTTTGTTTCCTGCCATTTCTGCTTCTCGGGCTTATGTTGCCGTTCTTGTTCTCATTTCTGAAGACAAGCGTGTGGCCCCTTAACTTTTTCCTTGTTTCCTCTCGTGCGAGCTTGTACACGGATGGTCGTTCCACTGAAAATACACATATTTCTTTCAGTCTCCCGCCGTTCTCTCTTTAATCTGTCGGGATATTTTGGAGTTTCTTGATAGACAAACGCATGGGGTCTTTTCTAGTTACTTTCCCGTGACCCCGTTCATGTCACTCTTCTTCCCACGGCTCTTCTCTTAGTCGTGCTCGGTTGGAGAAAGCGGTCAGTGCGGCGGCAGGTCTTTAGGGTTTTCGGAACTGGCCTTCTGGCTCCGTCTGCGCTGTTTCCGAGCCCGCTCTGTTTGTGCTGACCAGGAATGTGTGTCTGGCAGTGGACGGTGTGTGAGGTCTCTCCGCGCACTCTGAGCCTGCTTCGCTGAGGTCGGCAGCTCTGTTCCCCTTTCTGTCTGCTGAGGAGCGTGAAAACCTAACCTGGTGCGGGACTTACTTGGTTCTCTCGGAGCTCTGTCATTTTGAAAGTGCGTTCT